TTTTTATTATTGCTCCACATTAGAGTTTTTTCATTTAAACCTGAAAATTATAACAAAATAACTCAGTGAAAAATATATATATTATTCAACTATAGTTGAAATATAAAAATAGAAATAAAAAATAGCTATAAAAAAAATTTAATATAAATAAATAAATAGTTTTAATCATAACTTATTATATACATATTAGCATTAGTTTTTTTTACTTATGCTTACTTTTAATGGGTTCCATAGAATATGATAGGAGATTTGCACAAGTATGATTTCCTTTTAAAAAAATAATAATAATAATAATAATAATAATAATAATAATAATGTTTTTGATCTATATAGGTGTTTCATAATAATGAACTAAAATTATTAACACTCATACGCGTAATTGATGACTTTCATCAGATATAGGTACACGTTGCACATCCAGACTATCAGAACAATTTTATCATAGTGTTTTTAAATAGTATATAACAAACTAAATAATAAAATTCATTAAATAAATTATATGAAATAAAAAAATAAGGATGTTCATATAAGCTTGGGATGTGACAGATAAAATTTAATTTTATATAAGTAACTCAGAAAATTACACCGTCTTACTTTTTTTTATATGAGGTTGTGTAAAAGATTTTGGTGGCTTCGGGAGGATAGGTAACTTTTCAGCGTTTAATTTAGTTGCCTTAGTTGTTTCAATGTTTTTACCTAAAACCAATAGAATACACATATTATCTTTAAAATGTTTACAAACATGGAAGTACAAAACACAATTTATTATAAAACCAATTGTAAATAATTATATTACTTGATCCTTTTAAATGTTGAACATTATCCACATCTTCTAAAAATAACTTTTTTTTGCTCTATTTTTACGTTGACTTTTAATAATACTTTCTACTTCAGTATCAACTTCGGATAGATTATATTTAATGGCGTCAATCTCTTTCTCTTTAATTCTGTTAAAATCATCTAAAAAAAAATATTTACATATTAGAACATAAAATATGTTTAAATTTATAAAAATATTTAGGAACTAAGTTCTTCTTGAAACACTATACTGTGTTCAATCAATTGCACTGCTTGTGTTTTTCACAAGTAATAAAATGTACCTATCTAATAAATATACTGTTTAATTTTAGTCTTTCATACTTACTACTAGAACCAAGAATATTTATGAATTTACATAAGGACCAGTTTGTATCAACTGGTATTAGGTTTTTCACCATTTGATTAATATTAGACATTTATTTAACGTGTGTTGGATAATAACACAGTTTATCGTGTTTAGCTAACCAATTCATTGGAACTGATTGGATACCATCTTCAAATTCCACAACAGCATATTTTTTGTAACTTAAACAAAAATTATATAAATAAAATCATTATTTTTTTATCAATAAATATAACATAGTAAGAATAATTCTACGTTAATGTATTTTGTCTATGCTGCGCGTGGGCGAGAGAGAGAAAACAAAATAGTGCGTTGACATCCTCTTAACATTGAGCTATTGGGCCGCCATATTACCATGATTATAATAACGTAACTAACAAATATATATCTAAATATTATGTAATTAGTATAGTATATAGATACTTACCGAATACGATCATCTTTTGATTCCATAGTTAACAAAATATAACAAAATATAGACTATATAGAGAAACGTCGTGACTCGTGATAATTTAAACACAATGTACAACTGTACAAGTACAATGAACAAAATATTAAATAATATAAACGGACGGTACGTCGGTACCATAGATTAGTATCCCAATAATAACGTTTCTAAATAATACGGGTAAACAAGGATCTAACATCATGTTCGTTTACGGGCTCGTTTCCTAGGTTCAGACCACGGTTATAGATATATAAGATACTACACAACCGTGGTTCCGACTTCAGATCATAAGTAAACACATGGTAATTAATAATTTATTGTATTCTTTACACAGAATAATGAGTAAACAATGAGTAAACATAAGCTGATCGGGATATCGTGATAGAAAGTGATAAACTGTAACGGGCAGCGACATTTTAAAACATGCTACGCACGCCAGCTCATTTAATTATTGACTTGGCGTGGTTTTCAACTCATGTGTCGGCTATATGCCTATATCGTAGTATCGTGTATCAGACATAAATTTGCGCGAATGTTGAATGGTGATAAATAATTTTTACATGTAAGGTACCTGTCACTTAATAAATGTAATATTAATAGTTTGTTACATCATCAGTATACAACATACATGCACAATGTAAGTATTTATTATTATTAAATATACTTAAATGCATAATATTAATGTTAATAATAAACTAGGTCAAGAAAACCGTTGAATTATTGCACATCCAGGAATTTGAGACTACTGGTTTCTCAAGAGTATGAAAGACAACTTTTACAAATTTCAAATGAACATAGTGATTATAATTTAGAACAAGCATCAGAATATCTTGTTGAAGTAAGTTTTGAATTAATAAAATCTATGTATTATATATTTTGAGTAAACATCATTAATACTTTAATAAAAGTATATTTTACATAAACTTGCAAGTAATTATATGTAATTTTTTTTTTTAGCAACAACAATCTTCTAATATTACAAATGACATATTTCAATTTCCAATGTTTATTGATGAAGGCATGGATCATGATTCAAATACAATAACCATTTCCGCAGAAGATAAGATTGACATTGATGACATCCCTGCAGTAGATATTCAAAATGAAAACTTTGATATTTTATCTGAAATAAAAAACTGGGCATTGACTGAAAACGTGACTGCTAAAGCCGTAAAGTCTTTCGTTTTTAATTATGCGAAAATATTTCAAGCATCTTCCAGCTGATCCACGGACTCTATTATCTACACCAAGATCAACTTGCCTACGAGTAGTAGAACCTGGAGTGTAGGTACTACCATTTTGGCTTAAAAAATTGTATTATAAATTTCTTAAAAATCAATAGTTCTTATAATAACCTTTCAAGTATTGATATAATATTTAACACTGATGGGCTTCCATTATCAAAATCATCCAGTAGTCAATTGTGGCCAATCCTTGGCTCTGTTATTGGGTTTAAGGAAGTTTTTGTTATTGGACTTTATCATAGTTTTTCTGGTAAGCCAAAGGATGTTGTTACCTATTTTCACGATTTTTTACAAGAATCTAAACTTCTTGTTGAAGAAGGTATGATTTTCAATTCAAAAAATTATACTTGTAGGATTAAAATGTTTGTGGCAGATTCACCAGCAAAGGCGTTTGCTTTGTGTATTAAACATCACAGTGGCTATTCATCATGCACAAAATGTTATTCTGAAGGTGAATATGTAAACCATAGAATTTGTTTTCCTGATGTTGGTTCGGTTCTGAGGACTGATATAAGTTTTATTGAAAAACATGATGAAGATTACCATCGTGGTGAAACACCATTGGTAAATATTCCACACTTTGGTCCTGTAACCAATGTTCCTCTCGATTATATGCATCTTGTATGCTTAGGAGTTGTAAAAAAATTACTTAATTTATGGTTTGAGGGACCATTAAATGTTCGTATACGATCTAGTGTAGAGAAAGAAATATCGTTCAAGATAAATGAAATTAGATCATATATTCCAATTGAATTCCAAAGGAAGCCGAGACATCTTAATGAATATAAATACTGGAAAGCCGTTGAATTCAGAACATTTCTGCTTTATATTGGACCAATTGTTCTTAAAAATAAAATATCAATGGACACTTATCAACATTTCCTTACATTACATGTTGCCATAACAATACTGGAATTTACTGAAGAACATTTATTATATGCCGAAAACCTGTTAAAACATTTTGTAATTACAATTAAAATAATTTATGGGGTTCATAACCTTAGTCACAATGTAGGTACACGGATTAATTCATCTTGCCAAATATTGTAAAATGTATGGATCATTGGACACATTTTCAGCATTTCGCTTTGAAAATCATATGCAGCAGTTACTAAAGCTAATAAGAACATATAATTATCCAATTCAACAAGTAGTTAGAAGACTAAGTGAGATAAGTGACAAACTAACTCCTGAACTTGAAAAAGAGATGGATGTAATTATGTGGTCACAACATAAAAATGGGCCAATGCTGTCTTCTTGTCATCCACCTCAATTTAAAAAAATAAAAATAAATGGTTTAACATTTACAGCCAATAATTCAAAAGATTGGTGCTGCCGTACAAGCTGTGATTCTTTTGTACTTATTGAAAATATTGCATATCAGTCAAAACAACTAGTGATTATAGGAAAACAGTTTTTGGTAAAATCTGAATTATATAAATATCCATGTAATTCTTCATACCTCAACATTTATAAATTAAGAAATTTGTCAGCAGAATTGAAAATTTGGAAAGTTGAAACTATTGCAAACAAATACTTTTTGTTGAAATATACAATTAATATGTAGTATATGTAGTCAGCCTTGACACGTGTGTACAATATAGTAACTAGTTATGTACGAGAAACATAAGACTCACTCTCTTTACGGATGTAACATGACCTCGGTCGTGCACATATATAGGGCCTTTGATGTATGTAATACTCACTTGCACAGGCGTCGTTGTACAGAGCGTATACGATGTGTGTGTACTGTCACAGTTTAATTGTCCAGTTGTACGTTATTATATATTATACTTATACATAATCATATTGTCGTGTTATTACTTATTATATTAATGCTAACATCATTAGTCCGTCAAGCTTCACTTTCAACAATTCACATCAACAAAACATATATACAAATTCAACTCTATAATCCTTAATTTATTTTTTGTACAAATTGTCTGTCTTTAGTATAGTACACATCTAAAATGTCTTCATTATTTTTCCAAATTAATTGTGAAATGGTCTTGTAGCGTGTTGGTTCGTAACCAATTTTTGATACGCCTCGTAGTAGAAAACAATTTTTTGCAAGTGGCTTGTCTTATGGGAATTCTTACTGCAACTTGTAACAACTTATTAATATTTTGATAAACATGTTTTTCGATCACTTTGCTAATATATCATTAATATCAAAATCAGGTTTAATAGTAATCATACAGTTTCTTGCTACAGTCATTTGTGATTTGAAAGCATGAATATCCATAATTAAAATATCCTAAAACAATTAAATATTACAATAAATTAATTTAGAAAAAAACATTATTGAAAAATGTTATATTAACCTTGTAATGATTTATAAAATATGAACTTTCTATAAAATCCATTTTCATAAAACATTCAACAGAGCATGCCATGAGTAAACTCTCTTTAGAGAATCTATACTTAAGGTTTTTTATAACAGAATTAATTACAGGTATGTAGGCTTCAACCATAGTGTTTGAATCTACTTTCTGCTCCACTAGTTGCAAACACCACATAATCATGAAGATTTTGAGTTTCCTTTTTTTGACGTTTGGATCCTTTTTTTATAAATTTAAATCGAAATATAAATTAAATTACTTTTAAAATGAAAATTATTTAATATATAAATATAATTACCAATAGTTGAAATTTTTAAGTATGTTATTTTCATCAGTAAATTTAACTAATTTTTTCAAACATTATGGAATTCTTCATCTGTTCTTGATGTTTCAAATGTTTTTACTTCATAAACTATTACTTAATATGTTCATTATACTCAATACATCTTTAAGAATAATAAGAAAAATAATGAATTCACATTTTTGTATAGAACTTAATATGCCTGAAAAATTATAATTAGTTTATAATTATTAAATGGAACAGTCATTACTTTATTACCAAAATGTTGAGCAATATCTTTATCGGATTGTTCATTCATTTTATTTTCAATATATTCAACAATTGCATTAAAATTGTTTCACATAGCCTCGCAATTTTGGTACCTGCAAACCCATTTAGTATAACATACTGCCTTTTTTTTAAACCTAATTTAGATTGTATACCACATAACTTTGAGTTTTTTGAAGGTCTTGAAAAATGGACACATACAGCTTTAAGTACATTAAATACATAGTACGAGCTCCCTACCAAAAAACCAATGACAATGTGAATAGATTAAAATTAATAATATTTTTAAATGTAAGTTGTGTAGACTAAAGGCCTTAATACTTTTGTACATATCAACAACAACTAAGTTTGGTCGGTGTGCCATGCAGTGGGTGTAAATTGCACAAGTCTTTAAATTTGTATTGATTAATTTGATTAATATGACATTAATATGACCTGACAATATGACACTTGTACCGTCATATGACTGGGCAATAATCTTAACAGCATTCTGGCGAGGATGAAGACATTTTAGACAACGGCTTGTGCTGTATTTCTCTTCCAATTAAAATAATTATTGACCATTATAATGTTGCGCTAAGTAACAAAAACAGAACAGAACTGACCCACGCGTCAGTGCTGCATAATACCAACCAAATAGTAAACAAACAAAGAATAGGGCAGTGAGCAATGTATATTATAAGAATATTCAAATTCAATCAAGGGCGTATTTTTTTGGGGGGGGCGATTGAGCGATCGCCCCCCTCCCCCTTGAGCATCTGGTTTTTTTTATTTTTATTATTTTAAATTTTAATATTTTCGTAATAATATAACGACTTATGATACACCAAGTGTACGCCGAATATAGTTAAAGAATTTTAAATTTTAAAATATGGTTACACTGCAACACTGTTTATCGCACTAGACAGTGAGAAGTCTATGGTTAGCATAAGATGGTCGCGTAATTTTAAATCGTGTCACGGTGGCTCCTCGATATGCCGTTATCATTATTTAAGCCAAATCACATTTCATACCTTTGCGAGATTAGACTGCGATATTGTGATAAGACTATAAATTTATGTATATGTATAATATGTCATATATATAATATATTTACATATTATGTAAATAACAAATGTTATAATATTATATACAGGGATAATAAATATAATATAATAAGTAATAACTGTAGTCTGACTCTGTAATATGTAAACTTTATTCCTCATGTATCATTAATGAACTATCAAATTGTATATTTTTTTTAGAGAATGAAGTATTTGTTAAATAAAAAAAAAAACTTTGACTAAACATATCTACATATTATTTCTAAATGACAATTTTATGAACTAATTTTAAAGTATCAACATATTCTTTTAACTTATAATTTTCAACTTAAACCATTTTATTATTTTCAATAGACGATAAAATTTTCAAAATATTCTGATTTCTTTTGAACTGCTTACGGACATTTTCAGTTTCCAATTTGTTTAGTTTTTTTTTCTATAAATTTTAACAACATTTTATTTGTTGGGTAAGAAACCGTGAATACAAGTTTACAAGGCTCCTGGTATATTGATTATTGTTACTATAGCAGTTGAAAAATATTAAAAATACATAGGCACATTTTTTTTTATAAGCATGTTCAAATTTAAAATTATTTTGTAGTTAAAAATGTATAATATGTTCATCTTTTATAGCAGAGGATTGAAAATTTAAAACAAGGTTACACGTAAAAAGGTTATAATTTATAAATTACTTTATTCAAAATAATATCATCAAATATACTTAGTAATATTATAGGTAGGCTAATTGACCGTCTTCGCTCAGAATCGTTTTTCTTATATAATGATACTAACCTAACCTACAAAACTTACTGTACAACAGAGCGACACCCACTTAACCACCTATTTTTTTAAATAATAATATTCGGTCAGGGGCCCAATCATGAGGCAGACTGACATTGCATGGAAACATAATTTTATTAAAGTAAGTAAAGCCATCGTACAATACAATAGTGTTACATTATAAACATTAAACATATTATGTTAAATACTACAGGGTTACATTAAACAATAAACATATTCTACAAATGTCAGTTATTTAGTAAATTATCACATCATAAATATTACTTTAACAAAAAGAATACTACATTGGTTAAATTGTTTATATAAAATATAAATATCACAATAGCAAAATCATGATTGAAATCATAGAATCTCACATCAGATTCTCTAAATTGAATAAACAATTAATATTAAGTATAAAATATTAAAACATGTTTATTGACTATTCTTTATGTATTTTAAGATATATATATATTGAAAATAAAGTTATAAAAGTTAATAAAGACATTAAAAAAAGAAAAAACAATTCTATTGCACATAAAGTTTGTTTATTAAACATAATATATTTGTTAGTGACATACGTATATTTATATTCTAAATGGTCAGTACTATAAGTGTATAAGTCTAAATATTAAATTACATTACCAATATTTTTCTACATTTATATCATAGGTAGTCATAACCATTTTTAATCTTTAAATGTATTGACAATAAATATTAATACTTAAAAATAATCATAAATATTAAATTAAAATTAAATTACAGTCATATGTTAATATTTCAAGATAAATAATCTAACATAAAACTAGAAAACATAAATAATACATAAAACTAGGATATACTGTTGTAATATACCTACTGAATGTAATCTAGATAATAAAAAAACCATAAAATCAAAATTGTACATTAATTTTGTTCATTGGTTAGGTACACATTATTTAGTAACATAAATTGTATAATCTAAATGGTTAATGAATAATGACACAGTTAAATAATAATACCTGTGATTTTTTTGCTAAGTCAATAATTAAATAAGTACTATATAGACATATAGTGTACAGTATTTTTGACAGTCTAGTACAGATTTGAAGCCTGAAGGATTGTACAATATTATATTATATCAAATACTATATACGATCGTGTATAGTATTTGATTATATGATGATGAATATAAAATATAAATGAATAAATTGAAATGAATAAATGAATAAATGAGGAATAAAGTTTACATATTACAGAGTCAGACTACAGTTATTACTAATTATAGTATATTTATTATCATTGTATATAATATTATAACATTTTTTATTTACATAATATGTAAATATATTATATATATGACATATTATACATATACATAAATTTATAGTCTTATCACAATATCGCAGTCTAATCTCGCAAAGGTATGAAATGTGATTTGGCTTAAATAATGATAACGGCATATCGAGGAGCCGCCGTGACACGATTTAAAATTACGCAAGCTGGTCTATGACGGTTAGAAATATCGTGATTGTAATTGTGATTAGTGGTTATCAATTTATCATACAGTTTAATGTTTATATTTTTCGTTTATCATCTGGCTGACGCTGTTGACGGTTGTGTATTAAAATTAAGTTATTGGTTAATATTATAATATAGGCTAATAAGTTTTTTGTGAATGTCCATAATATAACGTTCTTAAAATGAATAAACGAAAACAGTCTACGCTCTTAGAGTTTTGTAATAAAAAAAAGAACAATAGTTCCAATTCTACTGTGGTAACTGCGGATGTCGATGATGCAGTTGTAATATCCGAGGTAATACCAGCGTCAACAACAACTTATAATAAAGTAACTACTAGTAATAATAGTAATATATCTAGGTAGAAAATGATATTTCCTCATTAGTTATTAGTAATGATATCGGTCTTTATATTAATTCATCACGTGTTATTGAAGATACTGTTAAAATAAAACTATTGGAAAATAAGTGGAAACCACCCCCTAGCTTTAAATATCCGTTTTCAGTTCATAAAAAACAGGGAAAGGAAGAAAAACGATTTTTGAGGTATAACCATTTTGAACAATATCCATGGCTTGTTTATTCGGAGTCATTATCTGGTTGTTTTTGTTTATACTGTACATTGTTCTTGGTTCAAAATACTGGTGGAAAACAAAATACTGAACAATTAAAAAAATTAGTTACAGTTCCTTTAAAGAAATATGCTAAATTACTAGGCAAACATGGTGATTTGGAAACTCATAGCAACAATGATTATCACAAAAATGCTATCTTACGTTCTGAAGATTTTGTACGAACACATCTCTGTCCCGACAAACGAGTAGATAATTTATTAAGTACCGAATGTTATAGACAAGTAACTGAAAACCAAAATCGGTTAAAGCCAATTGTTGAATCTATAATATTTTTGGGCCGCCAAAATATTGCGTTTAGAGGACGGTTATACGACAAAATATCTCCATTAAAAATATCTCCGTCAAAATGATCTCCAATCCAAAATATTACCCGATTTATGCCATAGCTATCTGATAGAGAAAATGTTATTGACGCTGATAGTGAGTGTACTTTGTACTTCCCTATCATGGTCTGCTTGGCGCTTACCAATACAGATTAAGTTGCAGGTAGGTAATTTTATTTGATTATACCTAATTGATAGATAAAAATTTAGACGAGAGAGCCGGAACTGTGTCACACACTGACACTGCGTGACATTGGTTTGTGTTACGTGCATGTGCGTTAACGTACTATTACCTAAATATGCCTTTAAAATTTGTTAAAATTAGCTACGAAACTTGGTTATCCTATAAAGCGGCAAACATTACAATTCGTGGCGTCTCCGGGAACTCATGTACACCAATTGGTGAAATTACGGCTAGCATAAAATCCAGATTAAACGAGTTTAAAGCCAGTCTTCAGTTTTTTATAATGCAGAACGTGGCAGGTACACTACCTACAGTATATCCCGAAGAAAACATAATGAAGGTGATTAACAGCAAAGAATACGCAGATCCGGATGTATGTTCAACGCGGAAAATCGATATGATTGTGGGAACTCAAGTGTTCTTTCGACTTCTATGTGTTGGACAAATTAGACCCGCAGGCACTGATGCCATTTGGTAAAAAACAGTTTTTGATTGGATTTTGTCAGGGCATATAACTTCTACAAACCCAATGCACTGTTTGTCGGCGACAGCAAGCACACTCGATCCAATCCAAAGGCAAGTTCAAAAATTCTGGAAGCTAGAAGTGGTTGTACGGTCGTCGCCAGTTCAAGGGTTTTCAACGGAAGAAAAAAGATGTGTAGAACATTTTCTAAACACCTATCGGAGAGAGGAGAATGGTCGATTCACATTAGAATTACCGTTTAAAGAAAATGTAAGGCAGCTGGGAGAATCTCGAGTGATGGCGGAAAAACGGTTTTATACGATGGAACAAAAAATTGATAAATATAAATATAAATCGGGAGATATTTTGTATTGGAGATCATTTTGACGGAGATATTTTATACTGGAGATATTTTGGTAGAGATATTTTGACGGAGATATTTTTAATGGAGATATTTTGACAGGTCCCCTAGAGGACACCACGACCAAGGAAATTTAACTGATAAACATAATTTAAATGAAATTAAAATATCATCTTCTGTAGTTAATGAAGTCAACTTTCGTGAACTTTTGAGATTCCGTATTGGATCTGGAGATGATTGCTTAAAAAATCACTTGCTTACAGCCCATTCAAAAGCAACATATATCTCACATACCACACAAGATCAATTGATTAAATGTTGCAAAGAAGAAATACTAACGATTATTTTAAAAGACGTAAAAAAAGTCTATATTATAGTATTATATTTGATGAGACCGCGGACATAGCTCATATTTCTCAAATGAGCTTAATTTTAAGATATATCGATGAAAAAAATCAAGTTTTTGAACGATTTGTCGGATTTTTGAATTGTCATGATAAATCTTATGATAATGCAAATGTTGACGAAGAACTTCAAGTAAACGAACCCAAATTGACTGGAGAAAAATTAGGAGATATTGTAGTATCTATTTTAAAAAGCATGTCACTGGATCTTGAAAACTGTGTTGGTATTGGAACAGACGGATGTTCGGTCATGATTTCTCAACTTCGTGGTGCTGTTCAACAGGTCCAAAAACATTGTGTAAATGCTGTACACAGTCCCTGTTCTAACCTAGCATTAAATTTATCAATTTCAAAGTCATCAGACGTACAGCTTGTAAGAAATACAATGGGTATTATAAAAGAAATAAAATCATTTTTTAAATTATCATCAAAGCGAAATTTTGTTTTGAAGAACAATCTTAAAGGATGCAGACGTTCCATAACTAGTTTATGCGAAACAAGGTCGGTTGAACGTCATACTAGCATTTTTGAATTTCAGTCTTGTTTATCAGAAATTATAGAAAGTTTAACTGACATATCTGAATGGACTGACCATATTTCTTCGTCAAAAGCTAAAACACTTTTAATGGCTGTAACTTATTGTGATTTTATTATTACCTTATTTGCATTGACAGACGTTTTAAGTGTTACACTACCAGCCAGTAGACTTTTGCAAAGTTACGATAGAGACATTGCAGAAGCATCTGATATAATCAATGGTATTATACTTACCCTCTCTGGAAAACGATCTAATTGTGAATTAGACTTTTCACAATTATTTGAACAAAGTAAGAATGTTATGAATACATTGGACATTGATTTAAAATTACCAAGAATTGCCAAACGCCAAACACAAAGATATAATACTCCTGCTCAATCACCAGAAGAATATTATCGTCGAGTTTTATATAATCCATTTCTTGAAAACATTTCAGAAGACTTGCAGTCACGTTTTCTTAATACAAAAACTAAAATAACATTTATATTGATGCTGCTTATACCATCCAATGTTTTAAACATATCAAATGACAAAAAACACGAACTTCTTCAGGCTGTAACATATCACAATGCATACTTGGATATTAATATGATTTATATTTGTCTTTATGTTAGTATAAATATTTATACTAATAGTAATTTATAAAATTATAGGTAAAACAATTCCTGAAAACGTATTAGAATCAATTACGCAATGTAATGAAATACTATTTCCCGGGATCAGAAAAATACTGATTATATTAGCTACTTTGCCAGTAAGTGTTGCTTCCGCAGAGAGGAGTTTTTCGACGTTACGCAGGTACTTACATAAAGTTTGATAAAAAATAATTATAGATTAATTTATTTATTTATGCTTCTTATGCTTTTTTGCTTTATGATTTAATGCTTATTAGATTAAAAACTTGGTTAAGAAGTCAAATTGGACAGGAAAGATTGACTGGTTTGGCACTGTACATCGCGATATAGAATTAGATGCATGGAAAATAATAGATAGGTTTGCAGAACACAAACGCTTTAAAGAATTTGTTTTATAGAATAAAAATAAATAATTACTTGGTGCTTAATTAAAATATTATAATTAGATTTTTATTATTATTATGATTATTAACTAAAGGTTACATATTCGTATCTTTTTTTACCTATAAATAATTTGTATGTATGAAATTTGCAGATCAAAATGACTTGACCAGCAATAAGTTACTAATTACTATGTTGACTTATAAATTAGAATTTAATAAATTGATTATGCCTTTATTATTGTTTTTTTTTTTTTTTAAATTGTGTAAAAGTCGCTCCCCCCTGAAAACAGGGCCAGAGACGCCCTTGAATTCAATGATAGGAATTTTATACTTTTGCCCCCTCTCCCCAAAAAAGTATAAATCAGATAGGTATATGCTTGTATAGTAACATTTATTATTAATGTCATTGACCTATAGATAAAATATGTTTCGACCATGGGAAATGTGCTCGACAGCTGCAGCTGAGGCTGATGAACCCCAACAACTTAAAAACACTCATGTAAATTTAAAATGGGTCATGGCATACTTGGAATATAGTGTTTATCCAGCTAGTATTCCTGATAAAGGTAGCCGAGCAAACTTCAGGAGATGTTGTCGACCATTTGTAGTAAAAGACGGAGTTCTTTATTACAAAAAGACGATGGCCAAAGTAATAATTACTCCAGAAGAACGAACACAAATCATTAAATTGGTTCATGATGGTTCTGATAGTTCTTTGGAAGCATCGGCTTTGTCTTCACATCATGGTCGCGCCGCCACACAGAAACTTTTGAGAAAGCGATACTTTTGGCTATCAATGTTGAATGATGTGAGAGAATACATCAAGCAGTGTGATGCCTGCCAAAAAGCAAACCCTGCGACATTAAAAGTTATTCCTGATTTACAATCGGTTTCAGTACCTAAGCAAGTGTTCAAACAAATCGGTGTTGATATTATGACACTTCCAGTAGTCGATAACATGAAATATGTTGTAGTAGCAATCGATTATTTTTCTAAGTGGTCCGAAGCAAGAGCACTTCCAGATAAAAGTGCAGAATCAGTTGCTCGCTTCCTGTACGACGATATAATCTGTAGACATGGCTGTCCTTTAATTCATATTACTGATCAAGGAAGAGAATTTCTTAACAAACTCATATCAGAATTGTTTCGCTTAACTGGTACCAAGCAAAGAGTGACTTCGGCGTATCATCCTCAAGCGAATGGTTTAGTTGAACGCCTGAACAGAACTATAAAAAACTGCTTCCTCAAAGTTCTGCAAGATAATAGTAATAAGTTGCCTTATATTTTGCAAGGTGTACTATTTGCACATCGTACGACTCAACATACTTCAACAAATTTTTCTCCTTTCCAAGTCTTATATCAAAGAGAACCCGTATTGCCTGTTGATATTTGTAATTTAAGATCAACAGAAGAAGGCACGATGATATCTGATGATCTTAGTATCATATCCGATGATGACGTATTTGATAAAGTTGCTTTTCATAAAACATTTGAAAAAATGTTAAATATGAGGAGTATAATGGAAGATAAAGTCCATACAAACATAGAAAATGCTCAAGTACGGCAACGAGTTTCATACAACAAACGCCATAAAACTGATAGTGTGTTTAATGTGAATGACAAGGTTTTACTGAGAAACCTCAAGAGAGATGACCGTAAAGGAGGTCGGAGTTCACTTCCCTGGAAACCAAAAATTGGTTATTATATTATTGATTCCATAAATTCAAATAAAACCTGTGTCCTAATGTATAAAGGCAAAGTTATGAAAACAAGGCAAAACTTGTCAAATTTAAAACATTATTTTGATAAAGATATAAAAGTTGACGATGATATTCTAGAAATTCCAGGAAATGTATATCAAAATATTGTTTCAAGATATTATAATCCGGTTTCGTACTTGTGGCAAAAGATGCAATGTAGATACTTCAATTTGACGATTAAGCATTTCCATAGACTATCTTCAGTAGCTAAAGTCTTGAATAATCCATCAACGACAATAGATATAATTGGTGACGGTAATTGCTTTTATAGAGCCTTATCGTGGTGGATTACGGGTGATGAAGATTCTCATACAATAATTAGGAAAGAGCTGAAAAAGGTATTTATATTTTTAAATTGTTTCTTTTTGATAGTTTGTAAGAAATGATGATAAAGTAATTCAATTTATTGGTGGCCAAACTCAGATGGAAGATTTAATAAGCAACCCTATTGGGAAGAATGGTAAACACAATTTAATGTTCTTTAATGATTAATAAATGGGTAGATAAATAATTGCAATAATTTTATTTACTTGTATTACAACTAGTTTTATATTTCACTCAACTACATACTACAATACATTTTATAGCAAATTTAAATTATGATTTATTAATTATTCAAAAAAATAAAATTAATTCTATTATAAATAATTACCTATATTTCAGCGATTTGGGCTACTGAAGTTGAGCTATTTGCTGCAGTTCTATTAATGAACACAACTATAATGGTATGTATATACTTTTTCCAACAAACCAGATTGGCAAGTATTCCATAAATCTGGTAAAATTTCAGAAGTATTTAATATACATGAAAAATGTATATACTTAATTAACTCAAATAGTAACCATTTTGATGTTATTACGAGTGTTGTAACTTCTGTAGAAGATCTAAAATAAAAAGTAAAAAGTTATAAAAAACTATAATAATATACCTATA